AAGGGCAGAGCATGGTGTGTGTGTAAATATTGCCAATCTTCTGTGAGGCTAAAACTTGGAAAGTCAATGGACTGACTTAGTTAACTACCCTAATTGTAAGATTACAGATAAAAACTGATGACTGGTCATGCTTGACTAGTTTTAGTAAATAATATTAATAAATAAAAAAAAACCTTATTCTGAAAATGTAGTATTTAATTCTCCACTAAGTGGCAAAAAAATTAGCGTTCTGGCTAGATCGTTTCCTGAGATATGGGCCAAAAGGTAAAGCTGCAGAGATTAAGTTTTAAAAATTTGCATTTTTTACATAAAGTAAAATTATTGAAAATTTTTATTGTTGAACGTGAAATATAAAAACCTTACAAACATCTGCACATTTGAAGCATTGAGACGTCGAGCTTAATTTTATTCACTTTTTCAAGTTTTAAAAATCACTCACTTGCATTAGGAAAACCAATTGTACCAGCCATAAAGAACATGAAATTATCCACAAATCTTCAAAATTGGAAGCGTTTATTTGGTCTAGAACTTGAGAGATCAGAATGTATGGTTTCAAAGCGCACAATTTGTATATGGAAAGTTGCAGCTTTAAAGTAGCCTACATTTTAAAAATTTTTAATATTTCTTCATAAAAGCGTGTTTTGAGCAACTCTTTTTGTTTGAGATTTATTATTGAAATTTTAAGCTCCACTTTCCAAATTTAAAAATGTTTTCCAAATTTCTTACAAAAGACAAACTAGTAGACGTAAACCCAAATTTTAACTGTTGATTGAGTCAAAGGCCTCAACTGATAAAATATTAAAAGATTCGATCGCGAAAACAATTTTAAAAGTAACGAAAAGTTCAATTACTTTCTTAGACTAGAAGTTGGAAAGTAAAAGTAAAACGTTTCGAAAAATGTTGCTTTTACTCTACGCATAAATATTAGGAATTGTTATAAAAAAATCCATAATTTCAAACACTCTAAGCGACCATAATGATTCCAAAAAAAAACTTTACAGTGGATGAATTTAATTTTGCTGCTGGTGTTTTAATTTTCAAAAATTTCCCGATATTCAACGAAAGGTTTGCCTTACATGTCTTGAAAAGAACGAATTTTTTTACAGAAACTCAAATTATAGAATATTTCGATGGTCAAGAACGTGAAATATTAAAATATTTTCAAACATCTGCACCGTTGAAGAATTGAGACGTTGAAGCAGAGACAAGTAACTTGTCTCTGGTTGAAGCTTCCCTTTTGAATTTTTAAAGAATCACGCAGTTGCCAATTTAAACCAATTTTCCCAAAAATTCACAAATTTTTCAAATTCGAAGCGTTCATTTGGTCTAGAACCTGAGAGATCAGAATGTATGGATTCAAAGAGCACAATTTGTATATGGAAAGTTGCAGCTTTAGGGCCAACATTTAAAATTTTTTTTATATTTCTTGACAAAAGCGTTTTAAGCAACTCTTTTTGAATGGTCATGAACCCAAAAAATGTAGATGATTCTAAGGCATCTAAAGTTTAAGCTCGACTTTCCAAATTTTCAAAAATTTCCTGAAATTCTTACAAAAGGCAAACTAGTAGACGTAAACCCAAATTTTAACTGTTGATTGAGTCGATTTAGTTTAGAACTTTGAGAAATCAGGGTGTGTTTTTAAAGGAAAAAATTTGAGCATTGAAAATTGAACATCAAGATCAAACTTCAACTTTTAAAAAAATTGAAAAACCCAACAAATAAAAGAGTTTCTGAGCATCGACAGATGAACTGTTGAAAATTTTCCAGTAACCACCATAACCATGTTAAAGATTTATTTTATGCGTGAAAACTGCCAAACCTAGTAGTATTTCATTCGGTAAACGTGCTATTTTGTTCTCTATCCAGTAAGGTAAACATTAGTGCTCTGGATCAATGTTTTCCTGAGATATGAGCCAATAGATGACTACGTGTTTGAAATAATGGCCCAATTTTCTCCCTTTTGGTGGTCGTTCAAACTTCGCTTTGCGTGTGAAAACTGCCAGTATTTTTTAAGTTTCACTCAGTGAATTGGGATTTTAATTTTCTTTCCAATAGTAGGAAAACAAGCGCTCTGGCTCTAATGGTTCTGGAGCTATGACCAATAGATGGACGTCATGATTAACTTGATGGCACAATTTTGGCAAAGCCGCTTGTACATTTTGAAAACTAACATTTTGAATTCCACAGGATTATTCGACCTACTGGTTGCATCGAATCTACCACTGGCCATTTTTGTACAAAAACTTCCACAAATTACACCATCGCTATAAGCAACCCACTGCCTTCTCCGTCACTGCTATTCATCCAGTTGAGTCTCTTCACATTCAACTTTTTTTGTCTGCGCCACTGTTCCTCATCCCTTGCCATTGGCGTATGTTTCTTAACTATTTCTTTAAATTCTGTAATTTAACTTTACGCTTCATAATCTTAGTTCCATTCTACTGTGTTACTTTCTACGCCTACTATCATGGCATAATCGACCATTCCGGGGTGAGCTTCAAGTCCTACTGGTGGCAACCTTGGCAGCCGGATGCGATTTTCCATGATAACCATCATCAGTATTTCCACGTGAACTTTGCTTTCAATATTTCCTATTGGGATAAGGTAGGTTTTCCCATTTTTTGGCTTTCTGATCTGATTTCCTGATTTTTTTGTCCAGCTGCATGGAACTTACAGAAGAAAAGACCGGATTTACAACGAAGAGTTGTTTTATGGAACCGGAAAATCCGTGGACACAGCCAGTTCGAATGAGCTGAAAACCGACTTGGAGGAGCGAATGTTGGAGAATCCATTGGCGTATCGGGCCGAGATGCCATACAAACTGACGAAAAAGGAGATCAAGCGACTCAAGAAAAGCAATTAGTTACTAATGTTGAAATGCGATAATAATATTAATAAGTAATTATTCTCAGCCACATTCTGAGCTAATTTATGCGCGAACATTCGCTGGTTTAATGTACACTTTGCAGTTGCAATCGATGAAAAATGACTCTGTTATTTGCGCATTTTTTAGTTATTTGGAGTTTTCCAGCTTTTTGTATTTTACCTGGTAAGTAAATGATTTGGTTTTTATGTGCGAGTAGTTTTTCTCTTCACTGTGGGAAAAAAGCAACTCAATGCAAGGTAGCTGCTTTTCGCCCTGTTCTCCCTGTATAGCAGCATAAATATTTATACAATCGGTATAATAATTTGCCGAAAGAAAAAAATGTTTAATTTCTTTATGAAAAAACCAATTTTTTCTGTTTGTATTTGATCTATTTTACACTATTTATGATATATTTTCGCAACTTTTTGGTTTAATCAATTTCATTCTCAAAAGTTTGCGTATAGTCTTTAACTGCTTTTCATTTAATTAAATTTTCATAGCATTCTTGTTACTGACTTTATCAGTTCCTTTTGCTTGTTCGTTTTCGCTACCATTCGCTTTGAGTTTTATAGTTATTGCTCTAAGCGTTATCTATTTTATTTTAAAAATAAATCATAAAATTGAGCCCGAAAATAAAAATAGTACAAATCTGTAAATGGAAACTAAAAGCGTGGAAAATTACGGAAAAGTATATCTGCATGGAAATTGTTGAATACGTATAAAGGACGGTGTAGATAACGCTTAGAGCAATAACTATAAAACTCAAAGCGAATGGTAGCGAAAACGAACAAGAAAAAGGAACTGATAAAGTCAGTAACAAGAATGCTATGAAAATTTAATTAAATGAAAAGCAGTATATACTTTTTTCATAATTCTGCCTTCTCCTAGCTTTCTTTTCCTAGAGCAATTTTGCTCGTTTAAATCGTTGCTATTAATTTACAATAAATTCGACGGTATTAAGTTTTTCTTGTTCTTTGAACTTTGAAAATTCAGTTATTGCAACTGGTTTTCAGGATTAATTTTCTTATAGAAAATGCTTTTATCCTTTCAATATTTGATATATTCTACCTCCTTTATGACTTCATATTGTTGCAGCTTTTCAGTCAAATTCATTTAATTCCCAGAAGCTTTCATCTAATTTTCTCATAGTTATTTACTGACTTAAATTTCCTTTCATTGTTTTATGTTTTTTAGTTACTGGTTTAAGCGTTTCTGATGCTTGCCTTTGTACGTACTCAACAATATTCACGTCTAAATCTGTAATTTTTCGTGCATTTGGTTTATACTCAGAGGTTTGTGCTTTTTTTGTTCAATATTATTGTGTATTCATTTTAGCACTGCATTTTTTATAATTTAATACATCCTTTTTCGAGTTTTCTATAATTTTCTGATACAATTTTGTTCGTTTGAATCGTTGCTGTATTATTTTCCAATATATTTTGTATTATCTGTTTTTTTTTCCAACTTTTGGTCATTTAGTGAGTTTTTTCACAACTGGGTATCATGGTTTGTTCAATTTTTTTACGACCTTCAATACGTCCAAATGAACTAATTTAGGAAACAAATTTTTCAAAGAAAAATTACCCAATCTATTTATAAAAACGACGTAAATAGATAAATTATATATTTGTACAGAGAAGGATTACAAGGAAAAATAAACGGAAATCTTCACATGAAGAGCCAAGATTTTGTGTTCTATAGTCAAAAATATGTAATCTTAGTGCTTCCAAAGGCCTCAACTGTTGAAATATTAAAAAATTCGATGGCAAAAACAAGTTTAAAAGTAACGAAAAGTTCAGATACTTTCTTAGACTAGAAGAAGAAAGTGAAAGTGTTTCTATGTACTTCCTTCTTTACTTTAAAAAATTTCAAAAACTTTCGCTTTTATTCTACGCCTAAATATCATGAATTATGCTGAAAAAATCTATAATTTCAAGCACTCTGAGCGACTATAATGATTCCAAAATACTTTACAGATGAAGAATTCAATTTTGCAGCTCGTTTCAATTTCCTAAATTTCGCCGATTTTTAGCGAAAAGTTGCTTTAGAGGACTTGAAGAGGACGACATTTTTTACGAAAAGACAAATTATTGAATATTTTAATATGAGATATGACCAAAAATGCGGCCTCATGTTTGCGTCCATGGCACAGTTCTGCCAAAAATCGTGCAAATATAGAAACAATGCTGAATGTTTTTTTTTGAGTGAAAATTGGCAATATTTTCCTAGTAAAAGTATTATTCCGTAAAAGTACTATTTAATTCTCTATCTAGTAGTGCACAAATGAGCGCCCCGGATTAATATTCTCCAAAAATATGAGCGAAAAAATGACCTAATGTTTGAAATGATGGCCTGATATTGTGTGTTTTGATGTAACACTTAAATCGCATTTCTGGTGAAACCTGCCACTATTTTTTAACTCAAGTTTACCGTTGTCAAAGATACTTTTAATGCTCTATTCATTGACGACATTCAAAATGAGCGCTGTAGCTTCATTGGTTCTTAAGATATGACCAAAAAATAGCGACATGTTTGAGTCGATGGCACATTATTGAAAAAATGTAAAAACTATGTTAAAATTTAGTTTTTTGCATAAAATATAGTAATATTTTCCAAGTAGGACCTTAATCGGAAAATGTAATATTTAATTAAAAGAATGAGCGTTCTGGTTCGATTGTTTCCTGAGATATAAGCCAAAAGGTGAAGCTGAAGAGATTAAGTTTTAAAAATTTACGTTTTTTACACAAAGTAAAATTATTAAAAAATTTGATTGTCGAACGTGAAATATAAAAACTTTTCCAAAAATCTGCACATATGAAGCATTGAGACGCCGAGCTTAATTTTATTCACTTTTTCAAATAAAAAAAAATACTCATTTGCATTCGAAAAACTAATTTTACCAGCCATAAAAAACATGAAATTATTCGCAAATCTTCAAAATTCCAAGCGTTTATTTGGTCTAGAACCAAATTAATTTGTATATATGGATAGTTGCAGCTCAAGAACCAAAATTAAAAAAAAATTGGTTATTCTTCAGAAAAGCGTGTTTTGAGGAACTTTTTTGAATGGGCAAGAAAATTCCAAGGCATCTACAAATTTTAAGCTCAACTTTGCAAATTTTCAAAAATTTTCCAAATTTCTTACAAAAGACAAGCTAGTAGACGTAAACCCAAAATTTAAATCTGATTTAGTCAATGGCCTCAACTGTTGATATATTAACAGATTCGATCGCAAAAACAAGGTTAAAAGTAACGAAAAGTTCAATTACTTTCTTAGACTAGAAGGTGAAAGTGTTTCCATATACTTTCTTCTTTACTTTAAAGAATTTCGAAAAATGTTGCTTTTATCCTACGCATAAATATCAGCAATTATGCTGAAAGGATCCATAATTCCAAGCAGTCTGAGCGAACATAATGATTCCAAAACGAGTTTTAATTTTCAAAATGTTCCCGATTTTCAACGAAAAGTTGATTTACAGCCTTTGAAGAGGATGACATGTCTTTTACAGAAAATCAAATTATTGAATATTTCAATGGTGAAGAATGTGAAATATTAAAATATTTTCAAACATCTGCACCGTTTAAGACGTTGAAGCTTCACTTTTGAATATTTAAAGAATCACGCAGTTGTCAATTTAAACCCGTTTTCCCGAAAATCCACCAATCTTCAAAATTGGAAGCGTTTATTTGGTCTAGAACCTGATAGATCAGAATGTGGTTTCAAGGAGCGCAATTTGTATATGGAAAGCTGCAGCTTTAGAGCCATTTTCAAAATTTTTGCCCTTTCACAAAAGCGGGTTTTGAGCATCTCTATTTGAATGGTCAAAAACCCAAAAAATGTAGAAGATTCTAAGGCATCTACAGATGGATTATTGAATTTCTAAGCGCGATTTTCCAAATTTCCAGAAACTTTCCCAGTTTCTTACAATACAAATTAGTAGATCTAAAGGGAAAGAATTCGTATACAAAAACTCGAAATTTTGAGTGTGTATTCAGCGCTTATTCAGTTGGAGTATTGAAGCTTAAAGATTCACTTAAAAATTTTTACGGGTTTAAATCAGGAACATATAAAATTGGGCATGCTTTAAATTTTTTTTAAATCTCCCGGTTTTGATGCAAATGTTAATTCTTCAGGAGTTCAAACAGTAAGGTTTCTCCAATGCTTAGCCAAACTTTTAAGTGTTTTTATCCTGCAGAACGTGAGCTTTGAATAATTTCCAAATGAATTACCAGCGGATTTTTGAACCTGCAACCTTAACTTCAAAATTTATATTATTGAACTTTTCTTAATTTGTTGCAATTAACTCAAATGGAACCTTTTTAAAGCTTGTAACGCATGTATTGCTTATTTTATAGACTATGTTGCGGCGAATAGTACTGGATGCCCGAGAGTATCCAAAGAGCATATTTCCAGCCTATGTAAAATTCCCAGTTGCATGCAAAGTGCCACAATTGCGTTTTTTTGCCAGCAACTTTAGTAAGTGATTGTTTAAATAAAAAAATCTTAGAGAGAGGATTAAGAAAACACACAAAACTATGGGCGTTATTAAATGCGTTTTCTTGAAAAAAAAAGATTCTTCTTCTAACTACCGTACAGCTCAACTCCAGCAGAAACCAGAAGGTACGAAATGACTGCAATTGCATTTAAACACAGGGAAATTTTAGTGAAAAGATGTTTAAATGCGACAAAACCTACTGGCCATTCAGGTACCTGTGCGATGGTACTGAACATTGCCCGAATGCCATTGATGAGGACCTCCAGCTTTGTGCACATATTCAGTGCCAGAAAAACTTCTTCCAGTGCAAAACACGCCAATGCATCGACTCTTCCAGACTTTGCAATGGGTTTAGAGACTGTTGGGATGGATCGGATGAGTCTCCGTTGATTTGCAGCGAGTTTACTGGTGGGTATCAGTTGGAAACTCAAAGAGTTGAGGCATGAGACTCCCAAAAAATCCAAGTCCTTAATAATTATTGCAGATTGTGGTCAAATACAGGCCACCATCAAAATGCAACCTCTGATTATACAGGGTGTTCCAACAAAGCCAATTTTCTGGCCTTGGTATGCTGCTCTGTTTCAACTGCAAGGCCTCAAGTGGGCCTTCTTTTGCAGTTCCACGATTATCAGCAGGCGCACCGTCATTACTGGTAACCCATACACATCGAGCCTTTTAACGGGAAATACTGAAATCTTACAAAATGAACATTTCCGCTTGCTAAAGATATTAAAGATCTAAGAGAACCAAAATCGATAATACATTTTCCAGCTGCCCATTGCATATGGGGCATGCCTAAGCAGGACATCAAAGTGGTGGCAGGCAAACTTTTGAGCGACTTTTACGTGCCAGAACCGGACAGTCAAGCTTTGGATGTTGAGGACATCGTGGTGCATCCTCTATATCAGGACTCTTTGGGCAACTACGGATCTGATATTGCAATCATCCTGCTGCACGGTGAGTTGGCTTTTTCCTCAAGCATCCAGCCGATTTGCATGAACTGGACATTGAGGAACATCCTCAGAGGCAAACACCTCAAATATCCCGCAAAGGTACTTGGAGTACACAGTTTCTTCAGCCGCCAACGAGTCCATAGGTTGCAGGTATGGGAATAACTGAAAACGGAAGAATTTCCAAGGAGCTGAAAGCCATTGATGTGAAGATCCTTCAGAACAAAGAGTGTCTGCAGAACCAAAGATACGAGTTTAGGAAATACATCACTGTTGGGTCGTTTTGCGGCAAAGGAGTTGAAGGTTTGTTGCTTGAACAAGTTGAGAATGTTAAGCCAACAGCTACTAGAGAACTCCATTATTCGTATTTAGGTGGGATTGTTTGTAATGGAGACAGCGGAAGTGGACTGGCAGTTCAAAGTGGACCATCTGGAAAATGGACGCTGGAAGGCATTGTTAGCATCAGTCCAAAAAACCCCAGAAAAATCCTGTGCGATGCCGAGTATTTTACCATTTTCACAAACGTCGGAATGTTCAGCCAGTGGATCCACGACACTATTTCAGAATTATATAACTGAAGAAAGCCATTAAAGTTCAATAAAAACCAAACCTGATTGGTTGTTGTTATCAACTTCTTCCTAAATCACTTGGTCTGCGTGAGTTCGACTGCATGATTATTATATAAGATGGAGAGAAGCAAGTCAGTCAAATGAAAAAAAAAACACTAGGTTTAGTTCTGGAAAGTTTATTAAAGTTCAAAATTGAAAAAAGCTACTAGAAACATTTTGCACTACATAGATGTATCTTGTAACATCTGAACAAGTAGATACGTGCCATCATAAACCAATACATCTTCATCGAGTCCTGTTGGTCTCAATTTAGGCCCGTTCTGGTCTGGACTGTCTGGTTTTGTTGGATCGTCCGCATTCCACCCAAGTCCACAAAACCAATACCTTGGCTAAACTCTAAGAACATATAGATAGAGTATGGATATTGTTGATCGATAAACTAAAGAAAGTCGAGGGTTAGTCCTCGCTCTTCCGATGTGATCTTGCAAAAAATATGTTGAGTTTGCGATCGGAAGGTGGAGTCTGGATCGGGCGGACGTTGTTCACAATGTTCACTTTCTCACAGGGTGTGGATTTTAGTTCACGGAAATGTGCCACCTGAAAATACATTTGTTTGGTGGCTAATTTACAATTGAAATAGTTAAGGCGCATTTTACTTAATTTTTTAAAGCGATAAGTTAATCTGCACTTAGTCAACTTTACCTGTTGCCTTGACACGTGAATGGGTGTGGGATATAAAATCCAGGTCACACTTTCCAAATACGGTTCGGTCGTCAATGATCCTTGATATGTGTAGTAGCCTTTGCATTGAGCTTCTTCTTTAATCCAAGTCAAACAATCTGGAAATGCAAAATACATCACATAATAAAATCGTATCTTTGAAGCGACTTACGCACTAGAGATACTTCGTCACGCAAATGCCGATCGAAGGACCAAAATAAGGTGCAATTTTAAAATGACGACGTTATTTATTAGGATATAAGAGAATATATGTTTGATGCAAGTGCTTGTTCGAAAATTGATTTTTTAAGCCAGTGCTTGTAGGGTTTTGTGCAAGTTTACAGGTTTGGCTTTGGGGAAGTTTAAAAAATTAGTGTGCAGTGGGAACCAGCCTACTTTTCTCTATATAAATGTACTGAATTATTCTTCATGCATCGGCAAAGTTTCAAAGTTCTGCCTGTTCTGGCTGGGAAGTAGCAAATTTTTATGTAACTGTTTAGTTCACTCTGAATAGATATCCTGGGTTTGTTGCGTACTTTCTTATGAAAGTTGCGAATTTTTATCAGGAGATCGGAATGGTTTGAATAATTGGCGATTGGAACTTTTTCAAATATTATCTGAGGCTTGATTTAAGTTGTAAGTAATTATACTGGGTGCTTGCTGATGCATGGCCAAAACTCTGAATGGCTCACAAGTTTGCAGAAGTTGTTGCAGTTTGAGCAAGAATTTTACAAACCGCGCAAAAATCCGGTTTAATTCTAATCCAGACTAGTTTTCTGTTTGTTTTTTCTGCGACATAAAGCAGGCCTTTGCTTATACATAGTCAAAATTTAAAACTTCTTTGTCTGCCGGTTTTGAAAATTTCGAATTTTTCTTTTACAGCCTGCAAAAGTGGGAGCAATTTGAGAGGCAAACTCGATTTCTTTTTAAATTACAGAAAGTTCTAATCGCACTGTAGTTTCTTCTGCAATATAGAATGGATCTTTTTATGCACATGCAATTTAGAACTGTTTTGTTCGGTGGTTTTCAAAGTATCGAATTTTTATTTGGAAGTCTGTAGAAGCGGGAGCTATTTGAGAGGCAAATTGGAACATTTTCACAAATTCCAACTAAACTTTTTCAAATATTTGAATCTTGATTTAAGTTCTAAATAAATATACTGGGTGCTTGCTGGTGCATGGGCAAAGCTTCAAAGCTCTGAATAGTTTTACTTTTTACTACCAAAGTTTTTACTAAATGCGCAAAAATCTGGTTTAATTCTAATCCAGACTAGTTTTTTCTGGGTCATTTGCTGGCCTTTGCAGGGACAAAATATGATATGAAAACTCTGCCTTTTCAGGTTTAGGAGTGTGCAATTTTTATGTAAAGGCCTGTAGAACTGAGGGCAATTTGAAAGAAAAACTCGAATCTATTACAAAAATTCCATAGTGTTTTAATGTGACTCAAGTGCTTCGTGAGACATAAAATGGGCCTTTGTTTATGCATAAACAAAATTTCACGTGTTTTTGCCGGCTGGGTTGAAACTTTCGAATTTTTATTTGACAGCCTGCAAAAGTGCGAGCAATTTGAGGAACAAATTATTTGGCTGGGAGGTCACGGGATTTCGTGCACTCCTTGTAAAAGTGTGGCTCCGCGCACTTGTGGCAAGTGGGTTTGGAGCCACAGTTTGTCAAGGAATGCCCGAACTTTTGGCACTTCTTGCACTGGGGAATATGTTTAAGGTTGAGGGTGTTGGAGTTTCTTTGGGGCTCGATGAGGACTGGGAGGTTTAGCAGATGTTTTATGTTTTGGAAGTCGGATTGGGATTTCGGTAAGAGTACTTTTACCATGTTGGAAACTTTTTTGTAGTTACCAAGACGGTAAAAGTGGGTTTGTTCGGGCGAAAAGCCCAATTCGTGGATCTCATTGTTTATTTCGTTTATGTCCATGTGGGAGTCAAGTCCTTTGATGATAAAAGACAGTTTCCTGTCTTCCTCGAGAGTGTA